TATGAGAATACCGAGCAGTGTCCAGCAAGCTCAAGATGTAAACAGGGTGATAGCTGAAGTTATCCGAAGCAACTTTTTTCTTTGCGAAAATGCAATCCGCGGCTTCGTTTACGAGTTATTAACGAAAAACGCTGGCCAATGAGAGGCGAGCTCCCCTAGCGCTAGGCGGCCGAGCCAGCCAGTGGAGCTAGGCTCCGAGCGCTCGTTGACTTGGCCCGCCTCGCGCCAGCCGAGCTCGCCTCTCATTGGCCAACGTTTTTCGTTAATAACTCGTAAACGAAGCGGCGGATTGCATTTTCGCAAAGGAAAAAGTCGCTTCAAATCACCTAAGGGATCATCCTGCATACATCTTCAGCTTGCTGGACACTGTTCGGTATTCTCAAAATAATTTCACTTTGAATTAAAATAATATGCGATCGTTTAAGTGTCAACCTAAAATATACCTATTACGAGACACCGCTGAAATCGCACGAAACACCGGATAAAATCTTTCCGCTCGCCCAAATTTCCGCAACGCGGAAAGTTTCATACATTCCCGAAAAGGTCAGGCCAAATTGCCTCGTTCCCAGGAACGCCTACACCTCGAAGCTCTTTAAGAGGCTGTTTCCTCGAAGCCAGAATTTCGGGGCAAAAAAGACCGAAAGCACCCCAGAGATCGAGATTGGCACTGGCGGAGGGATCTCGGCGAGGCAACGGTCAGAAGGAAATCGATGGTCGTTCGAGTCGAATCCTCGTTCCAGTCTCGACGGAGCGAAATGGCTTGATTAACTGACGACGCGTCGTTACCGCGACCACACTGCCGGTCTGGTCCAGCATCGCCGGGGGTAGCGGCTGCATTTGGGGTGCTCCGGGCGGCAAGAAAATGGAAGGAGGCGTAACCCACCCTTGCTTATTTATTCGCGTTCACGGGAACCGTGGTTTCCCGCTGTGCTCGGCGCATCGCCGCCGAATGCGCAGGAAACGCGTTAGATTTTGAAACTATCCTATTCCAAAAGATGTCCATTTCAGCGAAATCTCGCCCATTCGCTTCGCTTTTCGTCCTTGATCTTTTGTCCGCTACTGTACGCGCGTTTCGAATAATAAATAAGCTATTTATTATTCGTACTGAATGTACAATAATCTTTAGTTTAACTCACCCCCTTCTGTGGGGGGTAATAAACTAATAAATTGCACCATTCCTGCTCAGCATTTATAATTTATTTAGGTACTTGATATATTTAAATTTAAATATTTTCATACGAAATTATCGAGCCGATAAATAAATTATTCCCGTTTCATATATACTCGCTCTAAGAAGATTTACTATAAATACGAATACTCCTTTTGGTTCGTTAAGATAATTCGTAAACTAAATCGACATTTAACCCTTTGCACTCGAAGCTATTTTAATTATATTTTAAACATATTTTCTCTGATCTACAGTGTTTCTATTATATATGATTCATTGCGATTTATGCATATGAAAGCCTATCGGCAAGTACAAAACTTGCAATTTTAAGAGTCTTTTAGATATAAACGAGTCTGATACTATTTTACAATTATTTTAAAAAATAGTATAGCAATTTCTAGCGGCGCCACAGAGTCGCCACTCGAGTGCAAAGGGTTAAAAATTATCGATAAAATAGAATCTACGTCTGCCACGCTTCCGTCGCGAGCCCTTAGAGCCCTTAGAGCCTCCCCGATTTCACGCATCTTGTTAGCGGCGAGTGAAGTGCGCCGAAAGGACGCTTCCTCTGCGGCTGGTCAGCCCGTGCGATCTTTAAGGTCGGCGAAGACTCTCGTTGACGGTCACCGGCGGCACGCAAAGTGCACCACCACCGGACAGAGGAGACACGGCTCTATCGGGTTTCATTGTCATTGAAATCGTCCTGCTTTCGGCAAAGAGGAGAGGAAGGAACGACCTGCGCAATTTCCGGCGGGACAGGAGACGGATAGAAAGAGAAACGGCGGGGCCGTGACGAGGGGGATGCAACCCTCGTAATCCCGCGGCTGAAAGCCTCGTTTAATATTTATGATTTATTTCGGTTTAATTCGACGTGCAAACGCGGGAGTCGCATTTATATTCGATGTTTGCCGCACATGCGGCGAAACGGGATTACCGGGCTGCGAGAACTTTTTACGAATCAATATTTACTTTGAACAGTTGTTCCAACATTCCCACGGATTGTGAAATGTTTGAGCGCGGCAAGTCGAGACGAGAACGTGCGGACGCGTTCTTCCGAGCGACGGAATTCCGAGATAATGTAAGATGCAAACGTTTTCGCATTGAAAATATGCTTGCGAACGCGATGGAACGCTCGGCTGACTTCGAAGTACGCTAACAATTGTTCGGAAATAATAGTTAGTATTATTTTATTGATATAAATGATTTATTAATTTTTTTCATTTATTAATAGTTGATATAAATTAACGTAAATAATTATTATTATAAATAATAATTGGTAAACAATAATTACAAACTGTCCATTTCTCTGTACAAGCTGAGCGTCATTTAGGGAGAATTTACTGCAATTGTTCTTGTATATTAGAAATGATACTTTTCAATAAACAATACAACGCTTAGACAATAGAACGTTCTCCAAAATGACTTATATTTATAAAAGTTTACAGTCGGATTCCAGCCCTGATAATAATCGTTGATACTTTATCGGTGCACCATATGAGAACGTACGGCACGCCATATAGGCATAAAAAGATGTAAGCTAAACATAAAAAAGTATATAAAGCAGACTACTACGCACTGAACAGCGTGAAACGATAAAATTCGTCGGGTCGCGTTTCATCGCATACGTAAGTTGTTCCAATGTTACGTGATTTTTAGGGCCGCCGGTGCGGCGACGAGCGCGTTAATAAGTGTAAAAAAAGAAAATGAACCTGTCCAGAAACGGCGATAAATTTCGAGCGATATCGCGGACGGTTTTACAAGCAGAAACGGTTTCGTAGAATCGTCGTCGTCATTGTTCCAGCGACAATGCCGACAATGCCCCGATAGAAATGCCTTCACCCTCGTATCCGGTTCCTTGCCGGGCCTAGGGGAGAGAATTGCCCCCGGTATATTAACTCGCGTAATTGAGATTTATTAATCCGGGGGCCATTTGGTGGGCAACGCCGCGAGCCTATCCTTCTCTTTCTTTTCTTTTTTGTGGTAGACTTTATCCCGTTACTTTATTATAATTACAAGATCGGGTGCTTCGTCCGTTTTATCACGCGCACCGACCGACACCGTTCGAGCTTTAAAACAGGGACAACTCGGACGAATCGCTGGAACGCCTGATACAGCAATGTCTCCCTAACTGACGCTCGGATTGCGCACAAAAATGGACAATTTGGGAAGAGGAGACACGATTATTCGAGCCCTGAAGCTCGTTTTTATAATTGTTGAGAATCGATAACCATAAAAAACGAGCCACAAGACTCGTACAATCGTATCACCTCTTCCCCGAATTGTCCATTCCTGTGGACAATCTGTGCGTCAATTAGAGAGACATTACTGCAGTTCCTTCGTGTTCATCGTCCGCAGTCCGTCTCCTTTACGCGAGTCTTCAGGACTTGTACAACTTTATCAGCAAAGTTCAGAATTGCTTTCCAAAGCCATGCTCGCTCCAAGCCATTTGCACTCGAAGCCATTTTAACAGTAAATCTAAAATAATTTTTCTGACTTGCAGTGATTCCATTTTATATGTCAAAGTGCATTTTATGCGAACGAATGTTATGCTTTGAATAATATTTATAATCTAAACTTCGATGATACAATTATTATACAATAATGTCAGTAGTGCCTCAGACTCACCACTCGAGTGCAAAGGGTTAATACGCGATATTTAAGAAGCTTATTTCGGGAATTATTGTTGTTACGAACTGGAGTACAAAGAACGTGGACTGCTAATAAATAACTTGTGTTTTCGAGACGGAAGATTTCTCGCGACGAAGCTGCTTCGACGAGGCTAATAATGAAAATGTGAAACAGGCGAAAAGAAATTCATTCGATCGAATCGTCCGAATCGTGACGCCGCGACCTATGGATCGAGCAATTAAACCTTTCCGGGGTTGGTGTCGTTCGCCGAACCTCCAAACACGGGACCCCGTTTCCGTGATTAAATCCGTTTTCATCGCCAGCCGTAATATAAACGGGACAAGGAGCGATCCGTCATCAAGCCGTTTAATGAAAGTCGCGGCTATAACTTAGGACATTTGGGCTTAAGACACCGTCGAAGGAAACAGAGGCAGAGTCGAAGGCGGAAGCTGAACGCTTAATCTGGCAATATGAAACCACCCCGGCGGCCTTACCCTCACATAATTTATCCCAGTCCGGTCGTTCCCGTTTTCTTATTCGCATTATGCCACACCGCGGTAAATAATCGCGGCAAAATATACTGCTTGCGCGTAGAATGTTCGGAATAAAATTATAACACTTCCCGCAGAATGTAGTATATACCGTTTACCCAAATCCCATTGATTTGTGGTTTTGTAATAGCAGCAGGTCGTTAAATTCGCCTCGACACCCGCTATATCGTTTCGACCAGAAAAATATGAGGTGTCGACGAAAGGATTAATTTACAGTGTGTACCATAATTATGTCAACACCTGGAATAGGATGATCCCTGAGGTAATTTGAAGCAACTTTTTCCTCAGCGAAAATGCAATCCGCGGCTTCGTTTGCGAGTTATTAACGAAAAACGCTGACCAATGAGAGATCGCGTACGGCTGACGCCCCGCCCTGGCGATCACTGCCGCTGCATCATACGGCCGGCGCGACGCGGGATTAACAGCAAGGGCGGAGCGCCGACCGCACTCGCTCTTCGATTGGTCAGCGTTTTTCGTTAATAACTCGTAAACGAAGCCGCGTATTGCATTTTCGCTAAGGGAAAAGTTACTTGAAATGACCTAAAGAATCACCCCGTGCCGGGCGTTAACATAATTACGGTTTTACCGTTCGCATACGAATGCGACACCCAGTACACGAGAAGGTCTATTTTTCCTTTCTCTGTTTGTTGCTACAGAGGGATGGCGGGACTCGGTGTTGGGGGCCTCGCGACGATTATTGGAAACCATCGGCAGTCTCTCCAGGGACGTATCGGCGTCTCCTGACAAGGTAAGTCGCACATTCTTTATTTAACCGCGGAGTAAACCGTACAGTGGCGGCGTGCGCGATATTTACCTCGGTCTAATTGCTGTACAAATAATTCGCGGACGACCGAACGAACGGCCGAACGTTAAACATTTCAGGGGCTCGCAAGCCGCCTCGCGTGGTACAACACGTGTCAGGGAAGTATGTTCCGCTCGGAAACATCGCGGCTAAAAAAATCTGAGCGAACGTTAATGAAACACTCGTTGCTCTTATCGCTTCCCTAGCGCGTCACCTCGGGGGGCCAGAAGCGTGCTCTCGATACCGAAATGTAAATCGAAAGGTGGTTCGCCGACCCTCCTGCATTTCGGATTGCCAAAAGCAAGGATCTGCCGAACGCCTCCGGCTGAAATATGCAAATGACACGCAACGGCATCGGATACGATCTCGTTACTGCCGCCACGAGGGGGGAAGATAATATTTATCGCAGGGAGATCAAGGTCCACGATATTCATAGAGTTTTGCCATCTTTCTTTTCTCTTCCACCGCGAAACCGACGCCGCGCGTAACGTCAGTTTATTCGTGAAAAATCTTTGCACGTCGATCGCTTTTCAAACAGAAGGCTGATCCTTGAGACATTTTTGTAACGAATTTCTGTCACAAATTCAAATTATAATAAATTTTTAATATAACCTTAGATCGTAGTTAATTTTAAATAAGAATAAAATTTAATATGAAATTGAATTATAATAGATTTTTAAGAAGAAAAATGTAATTATGATAGATTTTTATTTCACACAAGAAATATTGAAATATTTTACGTGGAAATTTAAATTGTACGAGGGACTTTAAATTGTGAGAGGATTTTTAAATTTTGGCGGAATCTGGATTATCGATCTACGTATGGAATTAACGAACATAGTTTAGGAACGCGCGCACAGGGAGAAAACGATGTATCACTATTTTTCGTAAAGTGAATAGAGGGCTCGGAAAGTTTCGCGACACTCGCGGAAGTGGATTAGAGTATAACAGTTCAGACCATGCGCGAACGTTCGGATAGAATAAAGTGGACTTAACGGCTATTCTCTCGGCAAGTTGCCTTAAACGTTTAGATTCTTATAAATTGTTCGGCGCATTCAATTGTTCGATTCATTCATTTCTGTCGCTCCTCGATCGAGCGATGCGATTCGCGCTATAATTTCCTCTACTGCGATAATTTTACAGTCTCTATCCAAGCATCTAGTTCGAATAAGTAAATAGATCAATTTATGACGAATAAATAAATAAATAAATAAATAACCGTCGATCGAATAAAGTATTCGACTGAATAGAATTCGCTCGGATAGTTATCTCACGATAAAAATTTATACGAAACAATTCGCGTACATAAAGCGTCGAGTGAACGATATTTGAAATGTTGCGGACGCGAACGCGTATTGAAAAATATTTAAAATTGTCAGAAATTGATAATAGATACATTTACAATTCGAATTGTAACACCGGGAAAGGATTTTCCATGACACGTTCGTTCGAATGTCTCTGCGCATATGGAGACTTTGGAAACTCACCCTGAATGCATTATCGATTTCAAATGACAATCATGCAGGGAACAAAGCCGGCCCGAATTGAAATTTTCGACTGTTTGAGCAATTGTTAATTGATATGTGGGCGTGGTACACCTGGTTGGCCGATCGATACCAGAGGCCCCTACGGTCACGCATCTCATCCCCATTTCTACCTCTGCTACTCGCTCGTATTCCCTTCTCTCTCTCTCTCTCTCTCTCTCTCTCTCCCTCTCTCTTTCTCTCTTCTCTTTTCTTCTCTCTCTTCTCTTTCCTCCTTTTCCCTCTATTTTCTCTTTCTCCCTAGCTCTTTCTTCTCCGTCCCTCTCTCGCCCTCTCTGCCCCTCTCCCATGCCTCTCCCATTCTCTCTCGCTCTCCCGGCAGCACTCGACTTCGGGTCTGAAAAGAGGCAATCGTCTAATCCGATCTCCCACCTTCGATATACGTAAAATCGGAGAACATCCTCGTGAAACATGATCGGAGATCCAATATAAAACCAATATCGAGAGCGACACTCTACCGAATATTTTTTCACTTCCCTCTCTCTGTCTCTCTCTCTCTCTCTCTCTCTCTCTCTCTCTCTCTCTCCCCGATCATACCCTCCACCCGATCACCGAAAGAGACGACGGCTCCCCGGAGAGTAATTTTCTTATGGGCGCTGCGAATTCTCGTCGTTCGTCATATTTTCCGATCTACGGAAGAACATTCGATGGAAACGGGATGCCACGCTCGTTCTAATACATAGCGGAGAGGCGACAGCAAAGGGACAGCATCCTTACGACTCTTTACGCGTCCCCGGAAAGGAACAACAAAAATATCCGGACAGATAAGAGAGCCTAAACAACGGGCGACGCCGAGGGGTGTCGCGTTGCGCGATAAGAAACTAACAAAACCGTGGCACGTGTCGGAGCCAACTGGACGTTAAACGGCGAAAGCCCACTTATTCTACCTGAGCGCATCCCTCGATCCCTCGAATTGCATTAAGGCTAAACGATCAGCTTTACCTGCCCGCTGCCCGCCACCTTTTTTTCCTAAGGGTGCACCGTCACGAGCCGACCATAAATAACGCATTATCTCGAAATCCGATAGAGGCTAATTTATTTACGAATCGGAGCCGGTGGCGGAGGGCGACGGTGGTTCACGTGGTGAGTCACGTGCCATCTGCCACCATCCACCTACTCTATTATGACATAGACTGCATTTATCATCATCATTATCTCCGATGACTAGGTTCTTCATGAACACGGAGCAATCCGTTCGAGGAAGCCCGATAATAAATCGCTCCGTTTCTATCTACCACGGCGAAATTGTTTTGCAACGATCGTTCGAACGTCGCAGGAAAAATATGTTGCGAAATCTTTTTGTTTAATCTTTTTCGACGACCGAACGTTTTCACCGCGTTTATGCGAGGTGTCCCATAATTATGTTAACGCACGAGGCAAGGGGCGATTCCTTAGGTCATTTCAAGTAACTTTTTCTTTGGCGAAAATGTGATCCGCGGCTTCGTTTGCGAGTTATTCGCGAAAAACAGTGACCAATGAGAGGCGAGCTCGCCTAGCGTTAGGCGGCCGAGCCAACGAGCGCGTAGACGCCCAGTTCCGCTGATTGGCTCGGGCGCCTAGCGCTAGGCGAGCTCGTCTCTCATTGGTCAGTGTTTTTCGTTGATAACTCGTAAACGAAGCCGCGGATTGCATTTTCGCTGAGGTAAAAGTTTCTCCAAATGACCCGAGGAACCCCCATTTGCAGATTACGAGACATTTCTGGGACACCTTGTACGCTTCGATGCTCTCTATCGAATTATATATTTTACGAAAGCGTTCTGTTCAAACAAAATACGAAGCGAATCGAACATGCACGGTTAAATTGCAGCTACTTGCGCGGTTTGCAAGGAGATTGCAACAGCCGACAGGTTGAAACAAGCGGCGACCGGTTGCACTATGTTGCAGCTAATGCAAATTAGTTCCCAGACGAACGATCGGTAAATTGGATCTGTTCGACGCAAGAGGAATCGTGTAACAGGTCGAATTCTCGCAGCATTTACGTTAATAAGCACGATCCGGGGTTGCAGAAAACTGAATGGCAGCGAGGCGCGTTCGACTTCAAAGCGAATCGAGTGTCGCTAACTAAAGTTTGAGCGACACAGGGCGGAGAGAGAGAGTTTGCCATTTCCAATCCGAGTCCATTTCGTGATTAAGTGTAAACTTCTGAAGTTGCCCCAGAGGACGGACGCAAACAGACACGCGTATGTACACTGTGTGCCTCCTTTTCATGTTAAATGGCCATTTCTCGACGAGCATCCGAGAATAGAGAACGCGCTTTTATTATTTGCCGTAGACTTTTACGGAGAACGTATTAAATATCGATCGGCCACGCTTGTTTACTTATATTCCTTAAATGTTGCAACGAATGTTTCACCGATACGGCTCCTGCAACGGGGTCGCGTCGATGTTGGGCAAATATTATTCGGAATAACGAATAAAATAATAAAGAATAAGTTTATTCGCCGTTCTCGAATAAAAGGTAAATTTAATTTATTAGAGAGAGAAACGAAAATATTTCGAAAAAAGGTTTAACTAATTTTTTCTACGTTCGAAAAATGTTTGAAACGAGTAATCATTTATATGCAACAAAATACACGCGTCGTCCTTTCGTTCGTAGAATCGAAACGACGAATAGATTGAATTTATCATTATCTAAATTGAATTATATAAATTAATAATTGCGTATAAAATAAATTTGTTATCACTTGTTTACGTTATTCTGGAATCAAAAAGAAAATAATTGAACTGGCCCGTTGTTATCCCGAATAACATTTGCCCGACACTGTCGGAAATAAACTCCGCTCCTGTTCCATCGCTTTAAATAACTTAAGCCCTGACAACACGAGGCTACGGGGTGTAAAAACAGGAGATCGATGAAGAGATTACAGGGCACGAAATTCCTCGCAGCCAGCGTAGCCTCCCTTAAAGTTTAAGCGATCCAAAATGAAATATGAAAAAGCGAGTCGCTTGATATCGGAACAGATATCGGGTTCCTAATGGCTCGGCGGCGCCCGTCCTCGCACCGTAAAAATGCACGCAGGGATAATTGAAGGGAAGACCAAGGCGCTCTCTATTATTTAGTAGCTTCCTTTTGCCTTCGCTCGGTTCCTTCCGCTTCACTCTCGCCGTTCCCTGTTAATTGTTCGCCGAATTACTTTCCCGTGCTGTAGTTTAATCGCACGGAAATTCGTGTTTCCGGCCGATCGAAACCGGCAGCGATAGTTTCTCGTCATCGGAGTTGCTATACCACGTGCGTCGAAGTCAAGTCGTTGTCGCCGGTCGGTGGTTTTATATTTTTTAATTTATATTTATTTTTTTTTTTCATTTTTCATGCTTATATTTATGTTTTTCGAGCAACGATTTAAGGGTGAAAGCGATCGGTTTCCTTTTTATAAAATAATTATCAGAGTAGTACAGTAATGT